ACATGGTATGATGATCAGCCTCACTAGTTCTCCTGTAGCTTATTTTTCAGAATGAACTTGGGATCAGACGTTCTCACACTGTTTGGCGGCTGTGACATCCATGTTGATTTTTTTCTTCCAGCTAAACTCAGACACCGATGGCAAATCCACATATGATGAAATATATATATATATATATATATATATAAAAAAATTAATTAAGTGGGAGCATGATCTACAAGAACTTGCAGAGGAGGGCTGCAGTTCTGTGTTTGGCCACAGATGGCAGTATCACTAGAAAACTGTAAGGTTCTTACTTTGCAAAGCCGATAAAATCCTCATGATTAGTGTTGACATAGGCCAGCTCAATGTCAATCAGCAGCATCACCTGAGGACAAGATTCAGAAAAGGACTTTAGGGACACAGCTGAGGGAGCAGGGACATCTGGGGGCTCAGAAACCCTGGGGGCCTTGCCTGGTCTTTGGTGCGGCTCTCTCTGTCTCTGATGTGCTGAGTGACGATTCGTTCCATCTCTTCTCGGAGCATTGGATACTGAGCTAGCTGAAGACAAGAAGCAGGACACAGGAACAGGGAGAAGACAGAGAAGGACAAGTTAAAACTTTCCTTTTTGATAAAGCTTCTAGTTAGAGTGGCTCAGGTTATCCTGATCTATCTCTATAGTTCTGCTGCTATAGGCTTAGACTGCTGGAGGATTTATTTTAGTTTAGCAGTCCAAGTTAAATTAGGTCCAATGTAGCTGCTGGCCAGTCTGTTACTGTTGTTGGGTGTTAAAGTCTTTTAACCATAAATCTATGTATTATGAAGCGTTACTACGTGTTACTAGTCTTTGGATGTTGGACCCAAGGTTGGTGGGAGTAGATCTCAGCCATCTGTAAGTTTCCAGGAGTTCTGCCCCACTCAGTGAGAAAACATCCACAGACCGCCTAACTCTGGTCTTCATAATCTGAACTTTAAGCTGACTAGAAGCTGAGTATTAAAAAATAACAGCATTTCCTCATAACCTCCTTCTACCTGACCAGATTTGAGTTTGATCTTAGTCTCCCGCTTAGAGATCATTCCATTATAGTAGATAAATATCAAACAATGCTGTAAAATGTTTGTAGAATCTGATGCATTTTTAAAATAATTGGAATGAAAAAAAAAAGGTAGCATATTCTTCCATTACAACAACTGAGGTTTTTGTTAAGTTATGTCTTCTGTGCTGTACTGCTCTTGAAATAGTAGCCTCTAAAAAAGAAAAACTTAGTTAGTAGGATGCTGGTTCCTTGGTTTAATACAGGTAATACAGTAATACGCAGTGTGACGATTACCGTTAGAAAACCGGAAAGAAAATGGCGCTCTACATACGTAAAGGAATCCTATCTAATCTGGAAAAACAGTTCGTCAAACCAAAGCAGCATATTTCTCTTAATTAAAAGTGGAGAATAATAATTATCTTAGATTTCCTTTTATACAAATAAAGTTAAAAAGCTGTTTTATTTAGTTTCTTCCTCTGTTACTACATTTTTAATGAGCATCAGGGTTTTCTGCAGAGGGGACTTCGTGATTAGTGTTGACATAGGCCGATGACATAAGGCAGAAACACAGTTTGTTTGCAGCTTCTGATACTGTAAAAAAAGACGGAATGAAAATAAATGTAATTGTATTGCAATCGTTGTAATACTGTGTACTGCTTGTAGTACCAGTAGTACCTTGTTAGTACACTGCCTGACAGTGTTGACGAGCTCACTGATCACCAGGTCCACGCACTTCTGGCACGGTTCTTTGAGCTGAGCGATCTGGCGCTTGACGATGGTCTCAAAGGCCATGTCTGGTGTGAAGAGACCCGTCCTGAGGACAGAACGCGGATCATCACACGTGTCCCGAGTCCTAATTAAGGCATACGTATACCGGCAGACATGACTCCCACCTGATTCCGTGGATGTTTTTGATGGCGTAGCTGATCTCCTTGCGCAGTGTCTTCTCGTCGCCCTCCAGCTACAGTTGAGACACGTGAACACCTGTTAACTGGTAGCAGGTCACCTAGTCACATGGTAGACCTGTGTGTGCGTTTACCTTGACCAACTCGAAGGGAAAGCGCTCATGGAAGACCCGGTTTATTTTGGCTCCTCCTGACAGCTCGTAGGTGTCCACTTGATCTCCAGAACCTTCGATCCGTTTCTCAAAGTCCACCGCAAACTGCTGCACCATCCTGAGACACACAGACCTCCGTTACCATGCAGCTGCTTCTGAGGGGTTCTGGTTGCTACGGCTAACGGCCGAGTGGCGCTCTTCAGGTACTGGTACTGACTGCAGCAGGGCCTTGGTCTTGCGGCTGGGGTCGTCCGGTCTGAAGTTCTTGTACTCCTCTACCTCCTTTTCGATGGAAAGCAGCTGGCTCTGCAGCTTGCTCCGTAACGCCGGCAACGTATCTCGAATGTGATTGGTTAGTTGCTGGGGAAACAGGAAAAGATGAAAACTGTGATGCTGAAACTGGAAAAAGGAGCTGGTCTAAGAGGTGGATTTGGTTTGTGAGGCAAATCTGATGGTCAGTTGGCCTGAGAGGACCGGAGACACATCGGTGGACTGCGAGGAGCTAAAGCTGCACCGCAGGAGGACGCATGATGGAAAATGGACCCCCATCTCCCCCTGAGCTACCAACGGTTTGACCCCAACAATGACTCAGAAGCAGGAAATAAAAACAGGTGCTGACTGCTTACCTGGTTGAGGACCTTCTGCAGGTAGGCGGTGCCCATGCGGTCAGCCAGGTGACGGTAGGCAGGATGGGACAGGAAGAACTTCCTCTCAGCCTGCATAGCTGCTGTGATGTCTTTCTTCCCATCGATGTCCTTCTGACTGCGGTTCACCACCCCAACATAGCCTGACACCAAAACATGTCTCTTAATGTCTCAGTGTGGACACCTGACCTGTCTCTGAGTGGACACC